TTCTGGAGTTATAACTCGGCTAATGTGCTGTAGAGTTTTAGAAAGTATCTGTCAACTAGAAACTGAACAACTTGTTTCGCATTATTTTAAGTGAAAATTCGACAAAATGCGAGGAATAAACTTTTATGTTAACTTTTACTGTTTCAATTGCACCTTAAGTTCATAGGAAGCAGTAAGAGGAACGATATTTAATTCAGAAGTCAAACAACAAAACGATATTTGTCAGTTAATGAATTAACTTCCAATGGTTCGCCGTTAAGTAAAACTAATTTAATTAAGTACTATTTAGATATCTTTAGAGTTCATAGTATGAACAAATTTCGAAAGAAATTTGAAGAAAACGTATATTGAATTATGCTTTAAATGGCATAAACATATTTTTAGCAGAAGCCGTTTTCAATGAAATATTAGTTCACAAAATAAATAAATGTATAAAAAATAAGGTATGGAAATTAATGGAAGAGGCACTTCCATATAAAGTGTAGTCATATCTGATAACAGTCCGATACACCTTGTGATTTATGATGACAAGGGGGCTTAATAAGGAATAGCGACTATTTTTCTTACAAAGCAAGTTAAAGCTTCCTGACAAAGTTAGATTACATTGTATGGATAGAAACATATATTTTTTTAAATATATAACACTTGCCCAGCTGATTTAAACCTAATAACCAAACTGATCAATTCAATAACAGAAATATCTTCTCTTGAAGATATAATTCTGCTAGCTGAGCTGGGGATAGATGAAATATATCGTTTTCTAATTATTAATTTTTATGTTAATTGGTATTCACCTAGACATTCCTTAAAGTATAGGATATCGTCTGCATGTCTGATATTTTAAGTTGCTAGTGCACATACTTTTGCTCGTTCGTTTATGCTTATTCAGTGGCATAACTATTCGAAATATATAAAACTATTATTAATATAATAAAAATTACCCACAAAGTTTTTCTGATTATGTAAATCTAGGTCAGAAGAACGTCTTAGTAATGCTCAAGGCTTTGAGTATCAACTGATAGTAAATGTTTTGTGCAAACCGGCATCACAAACACACTTAAAATTTGAAGGATAATATTTTGTTCATGGTATATCACTTTGACAACTGGAAGTGAACGATTCTTCTCACATTTACTTTATTACTGATGATACACAACAAATATCTAGACTAACTTATACTTGTGTTAAGTATGGACTTTCTTTAATGTTTTAGTCCATTTCGTATGACTGTGAAACATGCCGATTCAAATGGTCTGTTATGTAACATACTGCCGATGATATGTAAATTTCAGTCCGTATAATGTAGAGGTCAGCTTAGAAAAGAAACTTTATGCAATCTATTAAAAATGATATATCATTTATGGTTGCTGCTACAATAATCATAATTGAATCTTTGTAGACAATTTGCCCTAGCTTGCAGCTAATTGTCTGTATTGGTCTTCTTCAGGTGTCTGAATGATTAATTCTGAGTTCATGTACTAGAGTCTTGTTTAATTAAACCTTCAGAATAAAGTACATATACTAATGAACTGATTCCACAATGTATGAGCATTCGTGCAGCATCTGAATAAATATGGTGAAGGATCATCATCTACCCTGAGCTAGTCATGGCCTTAGATGGCAGTTCATATCATTCTTTAGATAACAGCGTTTTTGAAACTTTTCTTTAGGGAATTTCTGAAATATCTATTTCTGTGTTCCTACTCGATAACAAAAGTTGTTCAACCTTAACTAATTTTCATACTACATAGTTACGTAAAATTTCTTTTATGACCAAAAAACTGTTGAATGTTACACGGTTTTTAGGAGAGTCACCGTCAATTTCTCTTCCAATTAATGACAATAGCGTAATATAAAATTTTTCGCCCACTTACTTTTGAGGTAATGAATTTTTTTACGGCGAGAGTTAGATTAGAGCTCAATTTTTTTGAATTCATGCCCTGATTTTTTCCAGCTTTTCCTAATTGTGAGTCATAGATCACATTTTAAACTTCGTATACTGTTTTGGCAAGTAAAGCCTCGTGGTTTAACAACTTTCTGTAAAGTAACAGCTTGAAAATGTTGGCTTCAAAAAATTTCTTGAATTTCTTACAAAATATTCATTTTTTCAATTAAAATCTTAGCTTACTTTAGTAAGAATTATACCTTAAATGGAGCAGCTCTGCTCTCTGTATTCAATTTACTGATATTCTGATTCAACTTCACAAAGTTTGAACATGCTTAAAAGTATGCTATATTAAACTTATTTATTATTGCATTTGTAAATGAATTTAGGTTTTTTGCTGGATAAATGGTAAAAATTTTATGTACCTAGAATAGATGAAAATTATTCGGTTTTCGGCAAATAGAAAGGAACTAACAGGTATTTGGTTAATTATGTGCGACACATAATTGAGGGCTAAAATACCTTATTTTGTCTATAAATAAAATCATTATCAACTGCCCTGCTGTTGACGAAGACAATGAATCACTAGTGATATGTCAGTCTGTTAGGAAGCTAAAAGTGATAGCCATCTCACATGGTCCGCGTGAACATTTTTTCTCTTCACATTTCTTGGCTTACAACAAACACTCTTTGTTTCATGCCAAACCACCCGCTTTCCTTTTGTTGCTATGTTGTTTCTTTTCTTTCTCTTTCTTTATTATATGAAGTACTCCAACGAATTTAATTCAAAGACTTAAAAATATAGTATCTTCAAACTTGGTATAGATCAAATTTTGTGAAAAGTCTTCTTATCACTCAGTCCGTATTGCTAAAATGCCCAATAAATGTTCATTTGATAAATATATTTTTAAGTATGGGTTTCATCCATACTTTTATGAACGTTTTTCGGAACAATATTTTTCCAGATGTGGATGCGCGTTTTTAATTCCTTGCACGAAGTCAAATAATTAATATAACTGCGAAAATTTTGGAGTATCGTACTTAAACGAAAATATCTATTTTGACCGCTCTCGATTTCATTTGAACTATGTTTTTGCATTATATCTGTCTGTACGGACAGAATAAAGGACCCTTTTTCTCAAAACGCTTTGTGAAAGGGATTTAAAATGGATTCAGAAGAGTCTCTTTCGTGACATCTGTACGTACATGTGTACGTACATATATATGCATGTATCTAGCATAACTCAAAACCGAGCAGCCTCAGAACGTTGAAATTTTGTATATGGGTCTGCTATAACATGACTGCTATATATATGCACCTCCCGTTTTGGTTGCAATCGGCTGCATTAAAAGCACACACATATATACCCACCCTGTCACCCGGCTCGGTGAGCTAAGTTTTTTAAATCTTTAAATGTTGGTAAATTGTGAATTTTTTACTTTAAAAATGATTGAATTATATTCTTCTTATGTTGCAGTTAAGGATTTTATGCCTTTAGTTAATCTGCATACAATAGCTGTAGAATTCAACAATTTAAAATGGGTTTAAGTTCTACTAAGCCATTTGTTTACATTTTAATATTGGTAGCATAGTCAATCAAGTCACTTTCTCCACCAAATTCAGTATGTTTTTGGCCAGTGAAGCCAAAAGTTTTGTGCACCGGAAAATCTGTCTTTCTGCTTAATTTTAATTAATTTATAAACTCTAATTGTAATTATAAAAATTGTTTTTAAAGGTTTTAAATCTATTTGGCGTTTTAGCTTTTTCTGTATTTTACAATTTTTAATGAAGATATTTTGGGGTTTATGTATTTTTTCTTTGCTTTGAAGTGAGAACTGAATTGATTGAATAAGAAGTTATCTAGTGAAATCCAGGAATATAAATTTAAATGAAATGCAGGAAAATATGCGCATAATTTAATAGGCCTTACAAAAAATTCATGTGATATCTGCATCAAATTTTTCTATTTCATTCTGATATATGTAAATCCATAGGAAATTAAACAAAGCACAAGGAGGGCATAACCGTAATAAATGAGGAATTAAATATAAGTAATTGAATTAATATACTATATATTATTTTAATTAATTATATTTAACTGAATACAATTAAAAATTTGTATAAAATAGTAAGAAAAAATATATAAAAACTAAATTAAAAACAAATACGTTTTATGTACAATATAATATAAAGAAGTTCGTATTTATCCCACTTGAGTTAATATTTATTTATCACTTAATTACGAAGATAAATAGTTTTAAGCATTTCTGATATTTGTTAGAAAAATAACTCCGAAATAAAAAAAATTAAATATTAGAAGGTGAGAGACTGATAATTTATTAAAAATCAAAAATATAAAATGGGTATTGGAATCGGCGAGCTGAGCGGAAGATTGGTAAAAAAGAAAAGTAAATGTACTAACTATAAGTGTTAATGTCATGCATGTCATGTCGAAAAGGTACATCATCGTTAAGTGAAATATATCCGCAACGATCGTTAACTTTTGCTTATCTCAGTAAATTAAAATAAAGGCATTCAAGTGTCAACTGTGTCCTGAGCTGATGTGAACGCATTGTTTAATTAGGTAACGTATAAGCATACCTGGGAACATTAAAGTAACCTAGATGAAACTCTTAAGAAAATTATGATTATGAGGCGACTGGTAATTTATTAATAATCTATGAACATCTTAGTAATAAATAATAAGTCTATAAGACACTGTACAAGTCATAGACTTAATTTACTTCTCTTAGGCATAGACGGGCCTTTTTACAACGTATTATTGGCTATGTCTCTTTCTAGAAGCAGGTTGTAGAAACATTAGGCATTTTTTTGAAAGCAGAAGATATGAAAAAGGAGCAATGCCCTCGTCAGGACTCGAACCACGGGCATCTCGAATACGCGTCGAGCGTGCTGACCACTACACCACGAAGGCACGCTAAGAAGGCGGAAAAACACCTTATATACTGCCCTCTTTTAAAGGGCGACTGGGAATTAGGGGTCCCAGTTCTCAAATCATGTTGGCGGAGAATCGTCATCCACCACCTTTTTTAGTTCCGGCGTCACTGTAGAGACATTAGATATTTCAGAGCAGGAGGGATGACAAATGAGCAGTGCCCTCGCCGGGTTTCGAACCACGGACCTCTCGAATACACGTCGAGCGTGCTGACCGCTGCACTACGAAGGCGGGAGAAATACCTTATAGGGTTGCTGTTATGGTTTTATATGAAATGGTTATTTTTTGAAATATATAGCTTTATATTTAAGATTTTAAAATTTAAGATATATTTTAACTGAAATTTAAGTTAAAATATATTTTAACTGAGTTGAAATTTTAGGTTTATAACGTTTTTTTATCATAAGTGTGTTTAGTGTGTTGCGTTACGCACGTACAGAGAAAGTTAACACTCAGAATTGTATTATTTAGATTTACGAAATAATTGAAAATATTGATTCAATGATTCAAAATTTTTTATCTTTTAAATATTTAGATAAAAATATTTTTTTCTTACAATGTTGTTATTGCTCGCTTTAAAATCATTGAGATTGTTCATAAAAATTCGTTGAAGATTACAAAATATTATACAAATCGAAAAAAATATTCCAAATTCCAAATTTTCACTTCCAGATGCCCATATTCGAGTGGAGGACTACGTTATTTAAATTTTGATGTCTCTAGGTACCGTTGTTTTTTACACTGAGAGAAACATACATGCATTCATGGAGATTCTTCATTATTTAATTTCTTTAAATATAATGCAGGGCTCTAATATCTGGTGGCGACAATTTGAAAAGTAAAACGCTGTTTATAGTGAACCAACGCAAGATGTCAAAACGAAATCAATAACCTTTATGGACAAATCGGCCAACTGGGCTAAAATTTTTTTAACATACAGAAATTGAGTAGAAATGCATACAAAATGAAAGCTATGGATAACTGTTAATAGACATTTAGTTTTTAACTTCTACCAATTTTTCATTCGCATTTTTGTATTTATATAAAATATGAGTATAAACTGCGAAAAATCATTTAATTATGGAAAAAAATGAGGAAATTATATTATTCCTCTAAAGTTTAAAAGCATGTAAAAGGAATTGTTCTCTGTTTACAAATTGAATAAAATTATAGATTCTGTTAGAAGACTAATTACTTTCATCTTTGAGCAATGTTTCAATTTTGTAGAACGGAAACATGCCCTGCTTGCCAGATACATAATTTAAAAAGCGTAAATTTGGAACCAGAAGTCTTAGTTTTATTAAAAGCTGAAATGTACATAAGTCGACATGAATTCACGAAATTCTGAAAGAAATGTCTTTATGTAGGAGAGACTGTCGTCTTAAATAAAAAAAAAAAAAAAAAAAAAAAGGAAAAAAATTCGATGTTATCTTAATTAATGCAAGGGTGAGAGATATTATTTCTAATTCCTTGAAGAGTGAAGAAGTAAATCGCTAGATACTGGACCATTTTCTTCTGTGTGTTAATCGTGGTGATGAACATATCCACCTGATAAATGCTTCAGGAATGAGCTAAAATGGAATCGTTTTCACAATTGATTTTACGCGGAATTTCGCTGACTTGGCTGCGAAAAATTAGCAACAGGTTTTGTGAATACAACGGGGACGTTTCGTGCGGTTCAATCTTTCTATTGAGCCAAAAGAGCTCCATAGCTTACCAAGTAAATATATTTCTAACCCTTTCAATGAAGAAGCCAACAAAGCGTAACAACTACGGTATTTCTAAGGCATCTCAGAGAAACGAGGAGAAAATTAAGACCTTGATATCACTCCGCAGGTTTCACCTAATAATATTCAAAATGTTGTGGAATTTCATAGTATTTTTTTCAGAAAGAGTATTTACTCTTTTCATATGTTATGAATATTTAAGCAAATTATCATTCAGGTTTGAATACAAAATAAAGTTTAGCCGACACATTACAAGAAGGATGTCTTAACTGGCATGCTTTTGTAGCATTTAGGTAATTTAAGTAATACTTTAATTCAGCGGTTCTCAACCTTTTGACTAATGCAAGCCATATAAACAAAAATTAAAAAACTTTTCACCACTACATTTTAAAATGATTTTTTTCCCCAATTTCTCAAAAGAAAAATTTTAAAAAATATATTTTGCCATTTGCACAAACTTTTGGCTATTTGTATTAAATATGAACAAATAAAAAATATTATATTAAAAATTGGTTACCATTTTAATTAGCAAAATTTAAGTTATAATACTTAAAAATTTAGGGCGAAATTTGGGCCTGTTTAAGGGAGATCAGTTTCTTTATGTCTGGTTTCATTTCACTTGCCATTAAGGAAAGTTTTAACCGTAAATTAGAATCCATTTTTAATTTTATTCTGTATTTATTTTTCAAATATAACATGGAAGAAAATGCCTGTTCATACAAATAAGTCTTGCAAAAAGGCAATAATAAATTAATAGCTTTATTTGAAATGCCTTTAAATTCTTTTTTGGTTCAGCCCAAAGTTAACAAATGTGTTATTTTGGAAATCTTCAGTTAAAGTTCGTTCACGGGACATTTCTATCAATTATTCTTTTCTTCCCGAGATAAAATTTCAGGTACATTTGAACAAAATGGATTTCTAATCCAATTTTCTTTTTCGTAATCCTCAGGAAAATACATGCTGAAATTATTTATCAATGATTTTTAATATCGGTGCAAATTCTTCTTTTATTTTCAAATTATTTTCGGTTAGAAACTTTCTAAAAGTGACAAAAAGCTTAAAATATTATTATCTAATTCTTTGATTATTAGCTCGAGATTCTTTATAATTTCATTTATTTTATCTCTGGTAAACAAATTAACACTTCGTCCTTGTAATCCTAAATTTAATTCATTTAACTTTCAAAAAATATCAGCTGAATATGCTAAACGAGTCAACCATAGTTCGCTAAATCAACATTTCTGCAATTGAAAATTTGAATCGCCGAAGAAAGTTTGAATTTCTGATCGAAGTTTAAAAAGAGGATTACTTTGGTGGAAGTAGACGTTTTGGTGCCAAATAATTGCATGCACTTTTGATAGAACTACCAGTTTTTAATCTTTTCCTTAATGGCATTACATATGATGAACAAATACACATACCCAAGGTTCGATTTACAAAGTGATACAATTCCTTAACTCGATTTGTCGTGGAAAGAAAACGTATTCCAAAATAAACTCAAAATTTTACCTACTGAATTACGTTTTTCTAAGTATCACAATACCATATTAAGATTAAAATAGACATACATTTACAACTTATCTTAATCGCGGAAGTAAATTCCCCGAAAAAGTATTCACATTTAAAATCTAAGATGCTAAATACCAAAATAAATATTAAATTCACACAAAAAGACATCACTTAGTTTTATATAATCATCACTACACGCAGAGAGGAGGTGAAGAGAATTTATATTGAACAGATTACGGGATACGCTATGCTGAAAGTTATCTTTCTGAGAGTCGGACTGCTAAAGAATTCATGAAACCTATCTTTAATATAGTCACTTACAGTATTTATCATTGTTCGACATTGTTCATAAAATTCAGTCGTTGCTTCATCAGACTAAATATCAGTTCCGAGCAGTCCGGATACGGAAAGGTCTATTTATGCTTCGGGAACAGGAACACATGCCAGGAAAAATTCCACATTATGAGTCGGAACCAGTATCTGATAGACAGGAAAGTCTATTTATGCTTCAGAGACAGGAACACACCCCGGGAACATCGCACAGATCATTGGACTTGCTTCTCAGGGAATTTATGAGTTCATACATTTCTCATACATCATACATTTAATCACCCAATACAGCTGAACATCTTTCATGAGTCTGATACGTCTTCAGTAAAATTTCTTTTATCTCGCACATGCTCAGGAGCATCACAGCATTACTCTCATTTATCTGCTCCATTTTCACACCTTTCTGAAAGTTTTCACGAATAAAATCTACTTCTTCTGTCTCAAAAAAGACCTATACATCATTTTACTGATTATCGCTCATATTCTATCTCTGTCCTTCCTTTTTTCTCCTTCTTCATTTTTGCCAGTAAAACTATCAACTCGAAAACTCTCACAATTCAACTCAAAAACAGTTAGCTTAAGGAAAACTGTTCCGCCCATCGTCAAAAAAATTATACCTCGCTTTTTTTTTTTTATTCTTCATTTTTGCCAACAAAACTAGCAACTGACGAAACTCCCACAATCCAACTCAAAAACTTTAGGTGAAGAAAAAACTCCCCCTTTCAATCAAATCCCCCTCTTTTAACTTTTCGCCTAATTAGTAATTATACAACAACGACCGATGCAACTACACCTCATTTCAAATTAAATTGGTGAATCCGAATACGCCGTCACCGATTACAACCAATAACTCCGTACAGATATGGATAGGTGCCGCACATGCTTCTTTGTTAACGGGGTTTGAAAACCTCAGGTTACTTATGGCTAGTGACACCAATCCGCAATGCATCCCATTATATGTTCACTTATGGAACAGAACATTACTGCAAAAAAGCAGTAGTTTTATCACTTTGTAATACAACATGACGTTGATATATACCTGGTTTCAGAAACTCATGCAAACCTGACTCACCGACTTAAGCTTGAGAATTACTCCTTCTCGCTGCGATAGACTCCATCATCGCGGGGTTGAACCTCTATTTTATGTAAAACGAATTTTAGAATCGTGTTTCAGAAGTTGAGGTAATTTCCATGGAATAGAGGCCGTCAAAACAGTTGTCAAGCTGCGTAAACTCGATCCACTGGTATTTTGTGCCGCTTACAGGGAACCGAATAACCGGCTGACAGCCAATCATCGAGATGATTTATATGGATAAAAACGTTTCCAAGATTTTAGGAGGTGACCTCAACGCGAAGCACCGCCATTGGAATTGCAATAATACTAAATTAAATGGACTGACTGTGCACGATTATATTAGTAATCATCCGGTATATTTACATACACTAGATGAAAGTGCTCATAGGCCTAATATGGCGAAGAGGAGGCTTGACATCCAAGACTACTTCATCTCTAGGAACAGTATACCTATGGCATTATCCGCTATCAATGACATGACGTCTGATGTCGTGCCAGCTAAAATCACGGGGCAAGTTCTAGCCTACCTTAGAATGGACAAACTCAATTATCTGCCCACAGTAAATTTAACGGGACTGTTATCTTTATCA